TACTCTGAGACTCGAGGATTGATAGAACGTATGAGCGGCTCTCCATCTTTTGGCTTTTCTCCGGGAGATGCTCTTGCCGCTTTCTTGAGTTCTTCCTTCGTCACCCCATTGAAATGCTTTCGGTACAGAATAAAACAATTGAGCGGTCGTTTCGCCCTTCCCTGTGTAACATTCTCATGTTCTCGGACCGCTTTTCCGCGTCTAACATGTGCTTCAGTGGCTCCGTCGTCAAAAGTAGGGTAACTTTGTGCCAAGACAGACAAGGGCTTGAAGTTAGGAGGCAGAATTTCAGGCTCCCTCCTTCCTTTCTGAGCCCTCTTCTTCCTACTTTTCTGCACTGGTTTGGCTTCTTTGGATTGTTTGGCAATTTTCCCACGCGTAGCAGGATTCCTCTCTCCCCTGTGATGATCATCTCCCACATAAATAGCATTTTGCTGCGTAGGGGGAGGATAATTATGAAACTGATGAGTAAATTGCGACAAAGACTAACACAATATTAGATTTTTTCGTTCACTCTCTGCGACCAAAGTATTATTTACTTACCGCTTGTGGGTTCCACTCCTCTTGTCCACCTGAATAGACAAGGCTAGGAGGATGAGGATAAGTTTGTGGCTACATACGAGTTAGACACTTTCAACAGGTTCACAACTGCATCTTGGATGAGAAGCACGCACGTGGTTTTCAGTCAGGGGTCCGTGGTGGAATATAACTCCTCTATCCTCAGGCGGCGTATAAGGCGATCCGTGGAGTTCTACTTGGCCATTTGGATTGGCAGGTAAGGTGGGCCTCTGGCTGAAATATGTGTGGTCCATCGGAGGTGTTGGTGGTTGAAACGACATGGCTCAACGTTTGTATAGGGCGTGTCTCGTAGAATGTTGCAAGATGGGTTTGAATTGTCAAAAGTTCTAAAGCTCAAATGGCTGCAACAGAGGAGCTTTTATTTCTCACAAGAAAGAACCCGACAAGGCCTGGGCCAGGTCTCTTTGTTTGGGTTCTGTAACCTGCTTTGTTTCTCAACTCAGAGAACAAGAGGATTGTCTGTCTACTACTGGGCTTGATTCTTTTTAAACAGTAGACTTGACAAGCAGCAAAAGAAAAAGATAAGGGACAAGAGTCCTTGAACTGACACCCTTTGTCAAAAATTGAAACTACGGGAAGCGATAGCTGCTCGACTACCCTGGTTTGGCCATTGATCTCTCTTATACACACCATAGGACGGATGGCCTTGACCAGAAGGTATAACCTAGCCGTGTCTAGAATTAGAAAGTTACCCCTTGAGTAAACGAGTTTAGGAACAACTATGACCGCTCCCTGATCTGTACCTACGTGCGTGACATCCACGCGACTTGACCAGAGCCATTGTCTAGTTCGACCAACATGGGTTTTCTAGAAAATCAGGGAGCGACTTGGTCCGCGCGCGAGGATATTTTGGCAGCCTCGTGTTACTGGGCCACTAGAGCTAGGTGGTGTCCAGCAGCGCAGCGTTTGATTGGACACCGTGCTAAGTTCAGCCATGGCGCATTCCAGTCAACTTATTGTTAGCCCTGGGTCACTCTTTGACAATGGCATCCCTTGGCTTCTCTAACACTTGTGATGCGGATTCGTCATGCGAACTCTCTAGCACTAGCCTTTTGAATCGCAGAAGCGCTGCCGTAATTCCACTCCTCCCTTTGCATTGGTTGGTATCAATTAAGCAGCAGTTACTATACAAGGAACTCGCATCTGCTGTGCATGATTCCTGCTTAAGATATCCTTGAATTTTGTTGGCATCTGCTCTCCGAATGATACATTTCTTGTTTGGATTTGTTTTTACCTGGGCAGTATAGCCACACATGGCCAGGCAAGAAGAAAAAAAAACTTCTTGAGCTCGTCCCCTTGCTGATAATAAATAGGTATTGTGGATTATTGGTAGAGAGCATGGATATTGTCGGATGAATAGCCTTCCAGGCACGGACGCCCACCATTAAAACATTGCTATTTTGGAGGTTTCATAACAAACAACACACCCGGCGAAAAAACGCGCAGGGCCGTAGGAATATTCGCCGCGCTAACTTCGCTCTATCGGCCTTGTAGATTCGGCCTGCTTTGTAGGCGGCGTTAGAATTGGTTTCTGGGGGTTTGGCGACAAGGTCAACTCAGGTGCCAGAGCTGTAGCGCTCGCACCATGTATGTTGTGAGAACTTGGACTGGACGCTGTGAATGAGCTGCGTGGTGAGTGTTTTATTGGCGATATTCCTGCATGAGAAGGCAAATTTCCATTTTCCAAATGGGCCGCACGATATATCTCTCGAGTAATGCTTGGTGTGCTAAGCGATGCTTCGGGACCGTTATCAAGATTGAGGACTTGTTTAGTTGACGAAGCTGGCGTTCCAAATGAGGGTGGTAGCTCGAAAGAGGATTTGTTTGGTGAAGTTGGCTGTAAAACTTCTGCTGGTTTTTGTTGTGACAGGCTCAAAGCTTCTGGTACTCTTGGCTTGGGCTCGGACCCCGTTGAGTGCTTCGACTCAACAATACTGCGACTGAATTGACCGTTTTGCTGTTCTGAGCCAGGATTTATCGTAAGGACGTTGTTCCCAGCTAGAATAGTCTGGGCTTGGACAGGCGTGGCATGGCGCACTTCAAGCTGTTGAATTTGATGACTTAGCTTTGAGAGTTCTTCTTGACGGCGACGACAAGATTCGCAAACAAAGTGGAAGTCCGCTCTTTCAGCTTCGGCCTCACTAATGTTGAGGCATTTGCTGTGCTGCCAAACGTTGCATGTCTCACAGGCAACACTATGAGTACCGTCGTCAACTTGGCCATATAGGCCGCACGCGCAATCAAAAATCCAATTGTCTTCTTCTGCGCCGAGCTCCATGAGAGCTTGCCGATTCTTCTCGATCCCAGCCTGCAGGCGCCTTGCGGAAGCTCTTCCGACACCGTCATTTGTTCGTTTGCTATCTTCAGATAGTTGAGCAAGCTCTTCCTCGTGTTGAACACGGCGGGCCTCGCGCTCCTTCAAGCGGTTGCCCCTGGATGCCATTCTCCTCTCACGCTCTTGCTCCATCTTTATCCGTGCACTGGCTTCTCGGCGACGAAGGCTTTCTTCCTCTTTCTGCTGCTCAAATTCTTCCCTAGCTTTTTCTTCTTGTTTCTTTTGTTCGGCTTTTCCAGCAAGGCGGCTTGATCGTTTGGCGTTGGCCATCTTGGCCAAGTTGAGAAGTTCTCTCTCGCGCTGGAGTGCCTTTCGCTTTCGACTTTCCTCCTGTTTCTCGAGAATCGGAACGAGATGGTCCTGTAACTGCTTCCGTAAAACCTTCTCATTTTCGTCGCGAGTTTTTTGGAACCCTTCCAAGAGCGCTTGGACCTCCCCAAGCGAGATGGCAAGACATTCCCACGTCATTCCACCCAACCCGTCATCTTCAGGCTCTGCATGTATTTCTTCATCGATATCAATGGTTTCATCGGGTTGACTAGAATTTCCTTGGTCGGTACGTCTGCGCTTACTCGTGCGCCGCCCGGCGCGAAATGATTTCCTCTTCTTTTTCGGCTTTGGTGGAGGAGCAGGAGGTGCTTCTGTTAATCGATAAACGCGGTTGTCGTCCAGTACGAAATAGGTTCTATCCTCGCTGTCCCATCCGTAGGGCTCGATGCGCTGTTTGATGGGGAATCAGAACATGTATAGCGACAAACGCGAGCATGGCTTCGTCTTCGACTTACCCACGTTGCTTGATCGACATCCTTCTGTTCCTCCATTTTGTCGCGAAACCGCTCTGGATGAATCATCACCCACTGGGTAAACTGCTGTAGAACTATGATCTACACATACTCATGTCAGAGAGCGCTAGGTACCGAAGGGACCATGGGCAGTGTACCTTCGTGAAGACATCAAAGTCTTGGAAATTCAGGGCAGTATCCTCCGTTCCGAAGGGATTGCGCTCCGGCGCTCGTGATAAATAAAGCTTCTGTGCTTGAGAGTTGAGTATTTCCTGACTGTAGTCATGTTATTAGAATGGAAAAGAAGGCGACTTGTCGCAGGAGATATCGAGAAGGGGGGGTTCTAGTCTTTACGTTAATCCGCGATGGTTCGAGATAAGCCGAAGAAGTGCGACAGCAATATCTGCTAGAATCGTTGACTGAGGTTTCAAGCACTCCATCTCGAGTTCCTAAGCCCCGAATATCTTGTTAGTCTTTGATAGATGATATTCCAGCAAGAGCGCAGAAGCTTGCCTCAATGTCGATGGACTCGTCAATCTTGACAGCCTTGCCAAAGATGTAAATCCACTGGCTGAGATTGGCAAACTGCCACATGTTTCGCAGGCGAGATAGCGTCGATTCATCGGTGCTCGGCCCATCGCCAGCTTCGATTGATCGCTTTCGCGAGGGCATCTTGGTGGTTGAAGGTTGTTGAGACGCGCTTTTGATGCGCAGTGTCGCGTTTTCCTGATTCTTCAAGCCAGTGGGCAAGCTTCTGTCAGACATCTTTTTTGAGAGCCCCTGTCGCCCCTTCTAAACACAGCTTAGCGTAGATAGGGCCCTTGTACTCCCGATAGTGGACCAACGTGATTACTATGCATTTATGCACAGCGTAGTGATCTGTCTCTAGCAGAGAATGCGAGAAGGTACCGAGCGTTTTGCTAGCAAGGATGGAGGCATGCTAACGATTCTATTTTTGGAAGCATCCCGACAGCAAGCCCCGACGCGCAATTCAGGGACCAGTTGCTGAAGGGCACAGAGCTTCTTCATTGGCTCTTGGCTGCGAGTTCGTATCGATCATCAGCAGCTGGGCTTCTCTCCTGCTGGTTTTTGGCGGTCTCAAGCCTCCATTCTTACATGGTCCCATAGTGCGGGATCCGGAGTCGTGTGTATATCTTCTATTATCTTCACCGTTGCCTCAAAACGTTAACGACGACGACGATGCGACGTTCCACAATCGACGACCAACGATTTATTCCTAGCTGAGGCTCAAGTCCTCTACAAAGACTGTCGCTCGTTCCATAGTTGACTCTCCCGTCCGCAACATGTCTGACCAACCGACCGGAGGTCCAGGATCTCGGCGGCCCTCACAGCCTTTTGGTGGCTGGATGGACCCCAATCATGGGCAAACAGATCGAGATGCCTCCCAACAACCGCTTTCTGCGCCGTCCTCTCGGCTACAACCAGCAGTGTCGCTTACTCCTGCATGGGATCAACCTTATGACCCTCGGTTGGACGAGGGCGTGACACCTAGCTCACCGATCGATCCAACGGCTCTCCAGGCTGCTCTCCCCCCTGAACTCAATCTTTCTGCGCCGTTAGACATCACGACTGCAGACGAACGGTTTTCATTCGATAATACAAACCCTTTCATGGAAGACTCGGCTGGCAGAAACCTTCTCGAGTCAGACCGGATGCCCCTCACGGCTGGTCTGCAATCCACGTCTAATCCAGGGGACTCTCATCCTCGTGACAGCTTTCAAACTGTGTCAGACCTTGGAAACGACCAGCCTAGATTCCGTGACATGCTGCACCCCAATAGAGATACCGAATATGGCCAAAGATCACCCCGTCGCCGTCCAAGTTATGGAATGTCACTGGACCCAAACGAATATCACTCTTCATCTCGCCCCGTATCTTCAACGTCTGATGCTTTACATCTTGCCGGGTCAATCGTTAGAGCTATGTCGCAACGTGTGGTCAATATTAGCGGAGATGAGGTGACCGAACGTCAAAATTCCAATCGCCATTCAAGATCACCACACGGCTCTGTGTCAAGCCGTAGCCGAGCGCCCAGCTTCACCGGACATACAGACACCTCTTATCCTTCCCAGACCCAAAACTTAGCAGGTGGAAAGTCTGGAGATCAGAGATTCTCGTCTAGTGAGATCCCCTCGCGACCACATATTCGGCAACCAGCTCCCAATCCACTTAAAGGGAGATCATTGGGATTTTTTGGCCCAGATAGCGTCATCAGGAACAAGCTCTGCGACGTTTTGGTAAACCCGTATCTTGAACCTCTGATCCTGCTCCTCATTGTGGTTCAGACCGTTTTGCTCACTATTGAATCAGCCCCGAATGTGTTTGCAGACGGGTATGGGCGACCAGAGCGCTGGGGTCAGCGATGGATAGACTGGGCCATCTTGGGTTTATTCATCATTTTCACTCTAGAGGTTATCACTCGCATCATCGTTTCCGGCTTCATCCTCAATGCCTCGGAGTACAGCACTATTGACAGGAAAAGGGGCATACGCGCTGCTATTGAAGACCAATATAGAGCGGTGTTCCAACCCCAGCACAAGTCCCAGAAAGCAAGCGTTCAATTCAACCAAGAGCCGTCCATGATTTCTCGATCTTTCACCACCCTCATGCAGGGACAACAAGCCCTGCCTGAAACAGCGGAGGAACATCAACGATTCCAGCTAGCACGACGTTCATTCCTGCGACACTCCTTCAACCGGTTGGATTTCGTCGCCGTAGTTGCCTACTGGATTTCTTTCGTACTTGGCATTACGGGTTGGGAATACCAGCACCATTTGTATGTTTTCAAAATGCTTAGTTGCCTACGAATATTACGACTGTTGGCTATCACCAATGGAACCGCGGTAAGATACTTGCACAACCACAGGACTTGTCATGAGCGCAGACTAAAACCATCTTAGATTATTCTGCAAAGTTTGAAGAAGGCAGCGCCGCTGCTAGTTCGTGTTGCATTCCTCATATGTTTCTTCTGGCTGCTCTTCGCTATTGTTGGCCTTCAAAGTTTCAAGGCAAGCTTCAGTCGTCAATGCGTATGGCTAGACCCGGACAATCCCACTGATCTCAATTCAACCTACCGACATGACCAAGGGTTTTGCGGTGGCTACAGAAACAATGAAACGGGTGATACTCATCCTTGGGTAAAGATGATAAACTTGGAAGGTTCCTTGGAGCCGGGTAACCTAGCGAATGGTAGTAATCGCGGCAAAGGCTTCCTTTGCCCCCGTGGATCCCTTTGCCTAGAGCAGAGCAATCCTTACGGCGGCACCGTGAGCTTTGACAACATCGCCCAATCCCTGGAGCTTGTCTTCGTGATCATGGCTGCCAACACGTTCTCGGACCTTATGTACTGGACGATACAGTCGGACTATACCGTCGCCGCTTTGTTTTTTGGTTCGGGTGTCATGGTGTTGACGCTCTGGCTCATCAATTTATTGATTGCTGTCATTACATCATCCTTCCAGGTCATCCGTGAGGAGTCGCATTCAAGTGCTTTTACCTCCGAGGAGCCTCGGGCTTCTCATCTCTTCGCGGAAGATGAGTACCGCCGTGTTCCAACGCTGGAAAGAATGTACGAAAAATCACGCGTGTTCTGGGTGGTGGTGATTGTGTTTGGCCTGGTGAGCCAAGCCTTTCGAAGTTCAGATATGAAGACAACGACAGGCGACTTTGTGAACTATGCCGAAATTTTGGTGACCATTCTCCTTGATATCGATATTATTCTGAGGATTGCGATAAATTGGCGGGGTTTCCATCGCAGCAAAAGCAATTTGTTCGACCTCCTTTTGGCTGTCATCACCTCGATCATTTTGATTCACCCGATCAAAGAGTCGGCGGCGTATCCATGGCTCACTGTCTTTCAGATTTTGAGAACTTACCGCGTGGTCATGGCTATACCTGTAACGAGAAAGCTGATTATGTTGGTACTCGGAAATGCAGCGGGTATTGCTAATCTGATGCTCTTTGTCTTCCTGATGTCTTTCTTAGCCGCTATTCTTGCTGCTCAGCTTTTCAGGGGTGTGATTCCGCTCGAAGAAGACGGCGAAATCAATAACGTGTCCTTCTATACGTTATACAATTCGTTTCTAGGCGTATACCAGGTGCTCACCACTGAAAGTTGGACTGGGATCCTGTACATGGTAACGTCAAACACAACTAAACATGGTACAGCATGGATTGGTGCGATATTTCTGATCGGCTGGTTCATTCTCTCCTTCTTCATCTTAGTCAACATGTTCATTGCTGTCATCCAAGAGAATTTTGATGTCTCCGAGGACGAAAAACGACTGGAGCAGGTGAAGGCATTTCTCCAACGGAGAGATCTTGGCAGTTCTTCAAGTACTCTCGCGCTGTCTACTATTTTCAGCTTTGGGAGGGGCCGTCGCGCTAAGGACCCATTTGATCACGGCCCAGCTATGACTGAAATGCTTCTTAAGGATGCCGTCGTTAAAGAATTTCTTGACGAGCCCGGAGAAACGGAGAAGGAGAATGTTGGTGAACACAACCCACCCCAAAGGTCTGCGACGACTCTTCTAGGTGATGTTCGCCCTGGATTTCTTTCGAAAATCTGGGGTAGGGCTGTCAACCGTTTCGTGAAGCGAGAGCCAAATCCATTTTACTCAACCATCAACTTCAATAGTCTGGATGACACTCTGGACGCAAGGCAGATGGCGCAGCAGGCTGTATCGGCGGCATCAACTCGCCGCCAAGCGCAGCGAGAGTACCTTGCTCGCCACCCCACGTATAACAAATCACTCTATCTATTCCTCCCAAGTCACCCTCTTCGACGCCTGTGCCAAAGACTCGTTGGCCCGGCGAGAGGCTACGAACGGATCGACGGAGTTGAGCCAAGCAAAGCTGCCTGGTATTCCTTCTCCGCTTTTGTATATGCTGCAACATTGGCCATGGTCATCATCGCCTGCATCACAACCCCGTTATATCAGTTGCCATATGTGGAGCGTGATGAGCTGCAGTGGTACGTGTGGACTGATTTGGCCTTTGCTGTTATATTCACTGTGGAGAGCGGCATCAAAGTCATTGCAGACGGCCTTATCAACACTCCCAATGCATATCTCAGGAGTTCATGGGGTATTGTGGATACAATTGTGCTAATTACTCTCTGGGTGAATGTTGGAACTCTACTAGACAATAATGATAAAGTCTCAAGGGCGACCGGAGCAGTCAAGGCGTTTCGAGCTCTCCGCTTATTGAATATCAGCAACAGTGCGCGAAACACTTTCCACTCACTTATTATTGTTGGATGGTGGAAATTACTTGGTGTAAGTGCAGCCCAGTTCATCGATACTCCTCATCTTTCTTGGTAATCTCAGACTCTAATGGGTTGGTACTTGTAGGCTGCATTTATCTCAATTTCGTTGCTCATTCCCTTCGCAATCTACGGCCTGAACTTGTTCAATGGGCTGATGATTAGCTGCAATGACGACACAGCAGGGTTGATCACTAAGCTCGAAGATTGCTTTGGAGAATTCGTTAGCACTCCCTACAGTGAATCATGGGAAACTTTAGCCCCAAGAGTTGCCTCGAACAGTTACTTCCGCTTCGACGACTTCTCCTCTTCCATCTTCACGCTTTTCGGAATTACCAGCCAGGAAGGTTGGACGGATGTGTCTTTTGCTGCCCAAGCAATCACTAGCCGTGGCTACCAACCCCAACCCAGGACATCCGAAGCAAACGGCATATTCTTCATCATTTTCAATCTGATGGCAACCGTCTTTGTGCTCACTTTGTTCATCTCAGTTTTTATGCGAAATTATACGGAACAGACCGGAGTCGCGTTCCTGACTGCTGAGCAACGATCCTGGCTTGAGTTGCGGAAACTGTTGCGACAAATCTCGCCATCAAAGAGCTCATATGATGATTCGGGAAAACGGACCTGGACACGCTGGTGTCACAAAAGGGCAATCGAGAAACGCGGCAAATGGTACCAGACTGTCACCGTCGTCTTAGTCTTGCACCTTGTCCTGTCGATGGTCGAATTCAAAGGCGAGCCACGAGAGTGGGAGACCACTCGAAGTTCAATATTCCTCATCTTCATCCTAATATATGTGGCGAACATCGGAATTCGGATACAGGGTTTAGGTTGGACCCGCTTCCGCCGAAGCGCCTGGGATCTCTACTCTCTCATCTCTGTTTCCGGTGCTCTAGCTGCTACAGTCGCGGTTCTCATCGTCAAGCACGAAAAGGATACGTTTGTCCAGGTCCATAAGTATTTCTTGGTCGGAATCGTCCTGTTGATTATTCCTCGTAACGATGCTTTGGATCAACTTTTCAAAACGGCGGCAGCCAGTGTCTCCAGCATCATCAACCTCTTGGCCACTTGGCTTGTGCTCTTCCTGGCCTTCGCTATCGCTTTTACACAGGCTTTCAGCTTAACCCGGTTTGGAGCCGAAGCGACTGGTGACTGTAACTTCCGAACTGTCCCCAAGGCAATGATCTTGCTGTTTCGGCTGAGTTTCGGAGAGGCTTGGAATGCAGTCATGGAGGACTACGCATTCATTGAGCCTCCATTCTGCACCGATGATGGCAATTTTTTCAGAAGCGACTGTGGAAGTAAGCCGTGGGCGAGATTCTTGTTCGTGGCCTGGAATATTCTCAGTATGTATCTCTTTGTCAACTTATTCGTCTCTCTCATCTACGAGAGCTTTAGTTACGTCTACCAACGCTCAACCTGGGTTGCGGCTGTTGATCGTGACGAAATTCGGCGCTTCAAAGAGGCTTGGCGCAGCGTTGACCCTGCTGGAACGGGTGCAATCAGCAAAGAGACTTTCCCAAGACTACTTAGTGAGCTATCTGGTGTTTTTCAAATGCGCATCTATGATGCCGAGGATTCCATACACCAGATATTGGACGATATTCATGGCCAAGACAAGAGAGATCCTCATGCGTCGATTGCAACGAGCAGCGGCTATAGTAACATTAACCTTGCCAGGCTCAATGAGCGTCTGGCTCTCCTAGACAAAGAGAAAATACGTGAGCGAAGAAGGCGCTTCAATATGTTTTATGAGGAGGTTTTAGTGAGTGCTGATCCTGATCGAGGAGTCACATTCACGGGTGTTCTCATGATCTTGGCTCATTACAACATCATCAACGATAGCAAGAGTCTCAAGTATGTCCCTTCCCGTTCCTGTTCCACTCGACGTTGCTAGTTCAGGTAGAAACAGGCGACTAACACATATACTCTAGGTTGGATGAATTCTTGAGACGCCGTGCACGCCTACAACGCGTGGAGGACTCGGTCCGCCGGAAAATTGTCCAGGGATTCTTTGACACACTGTAAGTCGTCAAACATTTTATGAAAAGCGCTCCGAAGCGCGAAGATAGACCGTGGTTACTGATACTTTTCGATAGGTACTGGTCAAGGAAGTTCAAAAAGCATAGAATGTCAAGGTTGTCTGCTCGAATGACCACTATCCCACAACTGGACATTCCCGACATTATGGTCGACCCTGACTTCGACAGCCAGGATGATGCGGACAAGGGACAGACGCGATACTCAGCCCCTCAAGCAACATCAACGACGCATTTGAGTGTTGACGGAAAGCAGCACCACTCGCGAAAACACAGCGAAGGGGCCAACGACGGTCAGCCATCCTCATGGAGCTCATCGGCGTGGGCTCATCCGTTGAGTTTCCCTCGATCAACATCTTCGACTCCATCGCCTCCACTCTCACCCGCAAGCTTCGGTTTCGAGCTCCGCGAAGGCTCTGGCCAGCTGGCACCTTCAGGAGAGCTTCACCGGCGAACGAGTTCCGTCAGCCCAAGCCAAGCCAGGGAAATGCTTGATGACTCGGCTTGGATGGAAAGCATCCGTCGAAGTGCAACTACTAGGCGACCGAACCGGAGATCTAGCTGATATGTTTCGTACCATGTTGCTGTTTCACGAATATTATCAAGTATGAACAGTAGAGAAATGTTTTAGCTCTTAGCATCAGAAGCGAGGCGTTTTGGGATATCGTATTCACTAACTACCTTATGCTACATACATACTTATTTATTTCCCCACCCCTTGTGGCAGTTTTAGCCTCGTTTTAATGAATTCTTACCAGTCCCAGAATAATACGTAGCGGCACATGGCCAATGAACAGCATTGCACAGCCAAGTGGGGACTCATACATAAGCCCGATAGATTTTCTGAGGGTAACACAAAGGTGCTTTGCATCAAATTCCATCAATCGAGGGATCGGTAATAGGGTACAAAAAGCAAATTAAATTCATGCATGAGCAGAAGTATTCCGGCGGAAGGCGAGTCATGGTGCTGTGAAGAAGTACCCCAATAACACATCCATCAGCCACCAACCAGCCACCATCAATGCTGCTTCGAAGGATGAAACCCAAGGCCAAGCAACAACCATGGAAAGTTTAGAGACCATTCGTACCCACGGCATTTTGTACAGAGTTCAACTTCTCTGCTGTATTCGCTGTCTGGCCGGTGTCTAGTCATGGAGAGGGATACATGCGAGTTCTCACGACTCAAGATGGATGAGTGTGGGCTCTGTAAATGCGATAGGTCTGGTCATACCCCATGTAAGGTAGCGGTCTATCTAAGGTATTTAGGTAGGTACTTACACAACGGTGCTGGGGTAGGCCTTCCAGTAGGAGACAAACGTCAAGTCTGATTAGGTCCTATTTTCCTCGCCCAGCCGCTGACTCCCCTAATGCCAGACCGTATGTTGTACGAATTAATAAACTTCCTTGTTCACTTTATAGGTTGTCAATCAGTCATCCCCAGGGGTTATCGGAAGTCCCTGGCCGCTTCCTTAGCGCCCTCTCCACTTGCCGCTCGCCTGCCCGATTCCGCCAGCGTCAAGTGCATTGACGCCTGGGTGCCCGAAGTGCACGTATACTACCTATGTAGAAGTGTCGGGTTGCTTGTGACATGACCATTATTGGATTCCGCCGGTCTGCATCGCGTAGTCCGATGTAGCTATGTATATCCTATCAGCAACGACTCGCCAATGGCCAGCGATACCAGCGCCATGGGGACACGGCGGCAGTACCAAGGTACACATCTGCCTGCCAAGTGCGGGGCAGAAACTCGGCAGGCCAGTCCACCGACATTGATTGTATCCCGACAAAGTTCGCAAACAACTCACATAGCAAGCAACAGGATAAAAAGATGGATGATGTTCGAATCCATTCAATACTGTCACAAAAGGGTGCCAAGTCCATAGGGCGCGCCTTCGAGAGGCTGAGCACGGCGCGGCGACTCCCACGATTTATCTCACACCTACATACCTTATGTAGGTACCTCCAGCCCACCAGCAAACCCCCCAGTAGCTACAAGTACCTAAGTACCTAGTAGTACCGAATATCTGCGGTAATCAAATCGTTATGGGGGATCATACCCACCAAGGTAACCTTACAGGTAGGTTCGGGCACGTACCATGAAGCCAGGTACCCTACAGGCAGGCTGGACCCAGCGTGTCCAACCGCGCTCTCCCTCATTCCCATCCGGACTGGATTGCAATTGCAACTGCTGCAACCCCCCGACTTGCCATTCCCTCGATATTTGCTTGTTGACATCCTGCATAGGCACACCAGCCGTCTTTCCATCGCTCGCCCATGTGCTGGGCTGACTTTGAATGCGACCACAAACCTTCCGCAGCCTGCTGACCAGATCGCCCGCACCCGCATCCTCCACCATTTACCCGACCATCACGACTGCCCGCGACGCTATACATCTCCAACTCGTACCCCCCCGAGGCTGACAGGCATCGATTGGTTTCGACATCGTCACCGTCTGTTATATGTCTTGTACTATGGCTCTATAACCGATCCCGAATCATACCAAGGTCCTCCCTTCCCCGCGTAAGCCAGGGACGCCTTGTTCTGCCTCGCCTTGCTCCTACGCTAGCTTGACTCAAAGTCGACCTGCCACTCACTCGCTTGATATCCGATCATTCGAGGATTGGTATATTCCTACCATGAGCTCTGGATACCCATCGTCCGACATTTCTCAGCATATGGTTTATCCTTCTCACCCCACACCGCCTCCACCACCATCTTCCATGGCATCGATGCGCCACCATCCATATCAACCATATCAAGGTCAACACATTTCACCACCACCAAGGCAACCGCCCCCTTCCTCCATGCCACATTCTGTTGGCCATCTTTCTACACGACCTTCACAACAGCCGCCACATCATCAAAACCATTCTCAGCAGCATTCGTCCCAACTGCCTTCCAATGCTCCGTCTCGCCAAGACGAACCATCCGCTGATGACCAGCGGCAAAGCCAAGAGAGTAATCTTGCTCCTGTCTCCCGCCTAGAAGAGGGCACTGGCCGCCGTTTCCAGTATGTTTTCTTCACCCCTTTTTTCTAAAGTCTGAAGCTAAAGTAAAACTCCCTTAGTCTTGATGTCGTGCAACAGCCTCAGCGTGCCCGCATGTGTGGCTATGGTGATAAGGTAGCGTGGCCCTTTTCTCATCCTACTCTCACTACCATTTTGATCTTTCCGACGTTTGCCGTGTACGCGGCGACAGACTCACGCCGAAAAAGGAAAAGAAAAAAAGACTAATGCAATCACTTAGGATCGACGACCTATCACACCACCGCCATGCGTCAGGCTCATTATAACTAATGAGCAGGGGAAGGAAATAAGTTGCAAGTAGGTGCCTGTCAATCACAATTCTACATTCAAGGCTCGGCGCATAACAGACCAAACCTAATACGTTCTTTTTAACAGAGACATTGATTATTCCATGTATGTGCTTAATGTCGACCTTTGGAACGACCTTGCATCCCAGGAGGTGAATCTGTGCCGGCAACCATCATCAACAGGTACGTCCCCCATCTCTATGACACCGCTCTTACATAAACATGACTCTTAACGGGATAGATTCTGCTGCAGTGTCCTATACACCCCAAGTTGTAACAAACGGTCGCGAAGTTGCCTATGCACAGCATGCGCCAGTTGCCTATGCTCAGGAATATCATCAATCGCAACCAATCTATAATCAAGGTTAGTTTACCCGAATCCCTCATGCAGAAGTCGCGACTCGTGTTCGCCACGCCTAACCTACGACCTAGTTGCCCAATTCCCCCCGATAACTGACGACCCGAACCCGTCTTACCCACCCAATGGCAGATATCTACCTGCTCAAGAGTTTTTCCCTCGTCATGGCTATCCAGGCGACTCCAGTGCTCCGCCCGTGACACCTCATGCCGAATACGTGGATAGCAATGGCGCTTCTGTATCTTACATTAATGATCAATGCAAGGGGGCTCTTAATCGGAACTTGATCGGCAGTGTAGCCGCCAGTGCCTTTTGCCTTACTGATACACATGATCGGGAAGGCATCTGGTTTGTTCTTCAAGACCTTAGCGTACGGCTAGAAGGAACATATCGGTAAGTACCGGGCTGACACGCAAAACTCTCCAACAACCTGAACGAACATATAAAATTGGATCGCTTACACTTCTCAACCTAATTGTAGACTCAAATTCTCCTTCATCAACGTCGGAAAACCTAGCTCCGCACCTGGACAACAATCGACAGTGATCAAGGGCAAGGCTCCTATTTTAGCATCTTGTTTCAGTGCAGCTTTTACCGTGTATTCGGCCAAGAAATTCCCTGGCGTATGTGAGAGCACATCGCTGAGTAAAACCTTCGCCACCCAGGGAATCAAAATACCAATTCGTAAAGATGGAAACAAGGGTGGCGACGACGACGACGGTGATTAGTTGCCTTCACCTCGGCAATGCTGCTCTGTTCAAGTGCCTTGCGCCGAATCAAATTCCCGGCACACGACTTTATGACCTCGAAAATGGAACTCTTTGCCCAGGTAGGCTGTTGTTCTGCTCAGATGACTGCCAAACCCACCGCAACCAAGAGGGATCATGCCCTCTTCTGAGACTAGCTAGGTTGTTGATGAAATTCCCGATCCGTCGATGGCCCCATTGGTCTCGATTCTCTCAGTCTCATGAAATCATAATTACAGTGTATTTGGGAGGACCTTTTCTTTAAACTCGTCAATCAATCGTGATCCTGTCTATGAGAAGGGGCGGGCTTGTGCTAGCAACGTGCGTCACCCCAGGGAGTAAGACCTTGACGAGATAGGATGGCGGGTGTGTAGAGGATGGTGGTGATTTGAAAATTCCGAAATACATTATGTCTGCCATAAAAAGGCCATCTCCCATACCCTTACGAGATCTGATGGGGCTGTAATAGTACAGATGCTACACACATGCTGCATTTGGAGAAAGACCAAGATCTCAGTGCTGATGCGATGATGCTCGTTCATAGTAGCACAACCTGCCAGGTGCTAGAATGTAAGAAGGCTGTTGAGCTCAAATCCAGACTGAATGATTACTTGTCTTCACGTATTTGTGTCATCTCGAGATGAATATAACGTGGAGCAAGGGAGGCGGTTGCTTGCTTGTTCATGAATTGAAAGATAATTCCTGGAGAACAACACGCATACTAATACCAGCTTTGTCGTTTTCACAATTTCCATGAATTCTCCACCACAACCTCTTATCCCCAGTTTCTAACTTCATCCCTTTAGCACCAGCCGAACGACCGAATGTTGTAGTGGCTCCATTGGCAGCGCTGGTTCAAAGGTAAAAGGCCAATTTTCATATTTGCCAGTCTCGCCTCTTATTGATTTGTTCTATGGTGGGATATCATGTTGCGGCACCTTCATGACATCATCCCCTTCTCACTGCTCCCACGAATCGCGACCCCTTGGTGGACTCTAATTGCTCCTTTTCCCACCCACAGCCTAGTCCACTTGGTCACCTCCATCTGCTGCTTAAAGTGGTATGGGAAGATGCCAAGGGTTGCGACCAGGGGTTGGGGCCAATAGTCTCTCATACACCAAACTTAAGTCTTCCCCGGCTCATCATTGGCCCACTCTATTGCTTCGCCGAATACCTTAAGTAATGGCAGGTTGTAAAGAAATGGTCCCTACGAGTCTAGTGCGTCTACTTTGTTTTCCAGATGCCGCTACTGGAAACACCGGTGGCCTTTTTCGTTCTTAGGCTGTAATTACTAGACCCTTTTCTTGCCCCATATGGACCGAAATTTCGTCTCCTCATCCGTTTCGCAGAGTCCTTCTCGTCACGCGCCCCGAAGACTTACCTGTGGCTTTGACCTCCCCCCGCCTCATCAACTCTCAACATTTTCCCTACACATTAAAACCGCCACCGCAAGCCAATCGTTCTTCAGTTCAGCTCGTCGCCAAACCATCATCATGTCAAACTTTTCCTCCCACGGCCGTGGTGGTGCCGGTAACATGGCCGACACCACCCAGTCCCCACGCCTACAGCCGTCCGATTTGGAAACACCCACTCTCAAGAAGCCCGTCATCTCTACCGGCCGCGGGGGCACGGGCAACATGGCGCCTAACAAAGACCCCGTTGAAACTCGCAAGCGCCAGGATGTCGATGCGTACGTCTTTCTCATTGCCAAACCCTCCAGCCTGCCCACCGACGGGGAAAACCTCCGAACCTCATTGCTAACATCTGCCATCTTGCCAGTGTCCCTCGGCGACCAAGCTCGGGCGCACAGCACGCAGGCCGTGGCGGCGCCGGGAACGTGTTCAAGGACAAGGCCGAAGCCGAACGGTTGGCGCGCAAGGCGAACGACGACAGCGCCATTGCCGAGGACGACACCGAGTCTGCCAATACGGATCTCAAGGGCGGCGACAAGGACAAGGAGGCGGCCAAGGAGAAGAGCAAGGCCAAGCACTGGCTCCTTGGCGGCAAGAAGGCCTAGCCCGTGTGTGGGGTATTTCTTTCTGTGTGTACTTTCTGGGTGATTGGAGGAGTCATGTTGATTATTGCGTGCTTTTACCTGATGGATTCTTGTCAAAAGAGTTTCCCCCCTCGTCGTTGTTTTCCCGGGAAGGGGCCATTATGGTAATGGGCTGTGGTTTGTTGTGCTTTTATTTTTCTCGTAGTTTTATCAGGTCCAGTCATTTGACAGCATGCACTGGAGTACATGGTGGGAATTCGGAGTTCAATTGGCCAATTTAGGCGGGCGCAGGTTCTATAGCTCCATCATGATTGAGCATGGGTATATAGTGTTACAACTATGAGTAAAAATGGGTGTGGATGCCTTGAGAAAGCACGAACTTTACATTTCAAATCAAATTCCAATACATAGAGTACATCTATGACAGTTGTAATTCCCTTTTCGAACTTTTCATTATGCCATGTTTACTACTATTCACTGCTTTGTGAGGCGGTGGATCTCTTCAAAGAAGTGCTTGAGATTGTCCGGATTCACACCAGGGGTGATACCTATGTCAGTTAGCTTTGAACAGTAACGCCGCCGGTTCGAGTGAACGGCATGTGAGACTTACCATGCCCCAGATTCGCGATCCAGCCTTTTTTGCCAACCCAGAAGCCCTTGACCATATGCTCTACAGCCTTGGTAATGGCTTCCTTGGATCCGTACAAGACACCTGGGTCGGCATTGCCCTGGAAAACCACGTTGCGGTCACCACGGATCTTTACAGCCTCGGCTGGGTCCTGCAGCCAATCCATGCCAACGACATTGTATCCAAGATTGCATGCCGAGTCCAAGGCGTGCCAGGCCCCCTTGGGGAACACGGTCATGGGGACACGTTCAAGCCCGAGGCTTTTCAGCTTCTCGGGAAGCTTTTGTGAGATGTGTGCCAGGTACGGCTCAGAGAACTCCTTGAACGCAGGTGGTCCTAGCTCGCCAGCCCATGAGTCAAACACCATAACAAGCTAAGAAGAATACCTTGCTGTCAGTCTCCTGAATTGGGAGGTCTTGGAATTCTAGGGGAAGAAACCGTACCTGTGCTCCGGCTCGGACCTGCAGGGCCAAGTGTTCAACGCAAACGTCGGCAATTTTGAGGAGCAGAGCCTTTGTCTCCTCTGGGTGTCGGTAAATCCACTTCTTGCTCTGCGCAAATAGCTTGGTGCCTCCTCCCTCAACCATGTAGCAAAACAGAGTCCACGGGGCACCGCAGAATCCAATGAGGGGAACGCGGCCAGCGAGTTTCTTTCTCGTGACGGTGATTGCCTTGTAGACATAGCCTAGCTCTTCCTCTACATTCACATTGCGATCCATAACTTGCTGATATTGGCCGTCATCAGGGCCTTGGAGGGGGTTCGGGAAGTGCGGGCCCTTCTTGTCCACCATTTCGACGACCATGCCCATGGCCTGGGGGATGACGAGGATGTCGGAGAATATAATGGCAGCATCGACTAGACCAGCATAGCGCTCGATTGGCTGGAGAGTGAGGGTAGATGCTACTTCGGGATCGCGACAGCATTCGAAGAAGTCACGGGAGCCTTTGGCCTCATGATACTCTGGCAGGTACCGACCAGCTTCACAATTGGCGTCCTTGTTAGCTAGGAATCCTCAGGATAGACACAGGCTGAGATCAACGATAGAAGAAAGCACATACCTTGTCGCATTACCCACATGGGAGGGCGTTCCACGACCTGGCCTATCCAACGGCGGGGTGTTTTAGCAAGACACAATCACTTATGAGGCCTCGGCTACGTATGGCTCAAGGGGACGACGGCGCACCCACCCCATGCTGCCCGAAGCAACAGATCGTTCTTCAATGGCTCGAATGTAAGTTCCATGGTTGGATTTGTGTGCTGGATTGGGATCTTTGATGGGTGCTTTGGAAGTGAAGTTAATTCCGATCCAGTTGCATCCATTTTCCACCCCACTACTAGTGCCTATCAAGGCAAGCAAGTGGGTGTCAGCTACTGCCGAACTGCCTGTGTTCCTTACTCTCAACGCAATATTTTGTTATTATCGATTAACTTACTCAACATTAAGTATTATTAAAAATTTAAAGATGCTGTCTCTTAATATTGCGCTCGTGTCGAAAATTGAAATCTCTAAGAAACAGCTTCGCCGCACCTGTTTTCTGAGAGCCACTACCAACTAAGGTACCTTGATATCGGCCGAGGCCCAGTCAATCGTAGATCCATGCCACTGAGCCGTGGATCAATTTCTTAGTCAGCACCTTTCTGCATACCCTACACTGTCAGTGCTGACACGATTACATAGCACTGACGATTACCTGGCCCGCCCATTTCGCGATCGTGGACTGCGAATCAACGTTTCCTTGCGCTGCAGCTGAGCAATTCCCAGCACTCTTCTTGAATTACAGATCGACGTCTTTGTTTCTTCCTTTCTCCCTACAGCTCCGAGAAGTAGTCAACCATGTCGTCATCTGAGCAAGAGCTCCAGATTCACCCTATTGTACAGGAGTCGGTAGTCCACAATGCCAAGGTGCGCAGAGCTCACCCACCCGACGCTGTCCAATTCTCCAACCACCTATGCTAATATTGTAATTGTTTTGATATAGACGCTCTCCAACTTTCACAGCCTCACGGCTTCCTTATTCGGTGTAACTGCTGGCATCCTCGGCCTCGAGTCCTATGCTGGCTTCCTACTCTACCTCGTCCTCTCCATCATCACCACCCTCCTTTTCTACGTCGTCCAGGTAGCACCTGCCTCGCTCGGCGAAAAGAAACCCCTCTTCGACACGACCCGATTTTTCAAGGGCGCGCTGGATTTCTGGACGGGCGGCTTATTCAGCGGCCTCTCCGGCTTTGTGCTGACTTGGACGCTCTTCTACGGCTTGGTACGGGTTTAGCAGACGGGGCAGGACTGTTGGTTGTATGAATCATGGGATTGTCATGGCGTCAAGGAGTTGTACAGCATATACAAGTGGAATCTTGCTCAGGGTTGCCTGGTGATATTGGGAGCCCAGCTTGGACGAGATCGAAGAACTAGGGATACGTGCATATACCTACATGCAGATTCGCAAAAGGCCAAGTGAATGTCCGAAACCAAAACCGTAAATCAAAGGAAAGAGAGACAAACAAGAAGAGCTAGAATCACTCGTATCAAGGAACATCAAGGAATATCAATATGCTGCAACCTGCTATATCCTTCAGTCGACAATCTCTATAATCTTGCCCACATAACCCTCGAGGCCCGATCTATCCTGACTTCCTCCCTCTAAGATGATGACCCGTGAGCCCAGCTCCACCCACTCTCGGTTGTGCAACAGCTCCAGAAAAACCTCGGTCCGTGAAACGCGGCCTGTTCCGTCCCCGTTGGAACTTTCCAGTCCCTCGAAATCTTCACTGAGGCTGAACACGTCAATGTCTTCAGTCGCCGTCTGCCCAAACTCTGTCCGATTGGAGTGGCGTGAAATGCCTCTGACCCGAGCTGTAGCTCTGACACTTGCCACGTACACATTGACCAAAGACCCCACGACCAACGATTCCATTTCCGGGTCGGTGAAAGTGGCCGTGAATCCACTGGCAGCTTGAAGTGAGAGTCCCGTGTCCACCATATGCTTTGAAGGGATAGCCAAGACCATCCCTCTTCGAATCCTCGGGATCGAGCCACTTGTGCTGGCCTCCTCTGGTTCCAACACCAGACCAATTGAACCAGCTTGGCCGGCCTTGAGTGTCCGTACCGGTAATCGCAGATTCCTGACACTCACAATGCGCGCTTTGTGCCACTCGCCAGCTATCGTCGATGCAGAGACAGCATTCTCTAGGCTTATCTTGGCAAGTTGAGAAGAAGCCGGGTGTGAGATTGACAGACCGTAATTTCCAGGAGATGCCTTATCATCCGTTCTGAAATCCCCGGATTCTTGCTCCTCTGGTGGGAATGGACCCACGACAACCTCATCACCCACGGATAGATCTCCGAAGCGAAGATGCCCGGATATGACGACGCCTCGGGCCTCTGCCTGGGAACCACCTCCAGCCAGAGTTCCAAACGAAGATGGAAGGGAGAATGTGTCATCTATGTGGAATAGACTGTTGGGCTGCTCTGGGTTGAGCGCCATCCCAACAAAATCACGAGATGTAGGCGGAGGCGGCAAAGGCAGACTTTCAAGGAGGGCATGCACCAGGCCAATACCAGTCCCTTTCACTACGCTTGTAAGGACGATGGGGACATATTGAGTCAAGCTTCCACTTTCAGCAATGGCCTTGATGATACTCTGCACTTTGTCGTGATCTTGCTGGGGGATCTTCTGCAGATCCTCATGCCGGCTCTGGTCAGGCTGAAGAATTTTGGGAACTCGACCAGCGGCTTTGATGGCTGTCAATATCTTGGACATGGTCTTCTGCAGACTTGTTTTGGAGGCGAGGTCCAGTTTGGTGACAACAATGGCCATTGGCACTTCCAACTTGAGAGACAGTGTCAAGTGTGCACTGACAAGATCTACGCCTGCCGCGGCCGCCCCAAGTACGTCCTGCGCAGTCGACGTTACCCCGGGTCGCATGGATGCCGGATCACCGTCATCTGAGGCGATGCAGAGAATGCTCCAGTGCGGTGCCCAGTTCATGAGACCTCTCAGGACCGTTCGACGGTACCTGGGATGCCCTCCTGAATCGGATACAAAGACAAGTCGACCGCCGTCAGCGCAATCATGAATGTCCATCCATGACTCAATATTACCCTGTGAGAAATTGAGGATTTCTTGATCCTTATACCCGATTAGCTCCTGGGCAATAGAACTGGTCACGCCAGACACCATTTCGTGGCGATGTCTTAGAAGACTGAGCCGACTCTTTCCTCGACCATTATCAAGTGTTCCCGTAGACAGGGTTCCAAGAAGACTGGATTTGCCAGAAGTGGTTGGCCCCGTGAAGGTGACTCTGAGTTGGGGAGTCAGCGAGATTCCCTGACTGGGGGCCGCATCGCCAACAGAGGCGTCTTGGGATGCTGAGGGGGCCCGGACGGTATTGGAA